GTTTTTTAATCCATTACTATTTTTGATTACATGAACGAGAGGGAGAAATTCATTAATTTATTCAACTGAAAAATGGACCATTATCAATAAGATTTAACAACAATGGAAACATAATTTTATTTGATACATCTTGCAACATAAACAAGTACATACACTTATTACAACTACATTACGAAACCCAGTTACTACGTGTATCCTTGATAGTTGGGCACATTAGAAGAACTTCCACCAGGAGCTGGATTACCACCGCCACCCAAATCAGCCGAAGGACATTTTCGACGGTCATGTCCTGTTTGCGAGCATATACCACATTTGCGCGCATAAACGGTATCGCTAACATCCATTTGGTTCCGTATACGCGTTCTCTTCTGCACCTGTATTTGACGCAAAAACTCCTTGTTACATACCATTTTAAATAGTTCCGGCGGCCAATAATGCTCATCATCCATTGGCTGCAACTGCTCACTATAGGTGTTTAAGTATGCAGCAACACTATATTATTTATCAACGTAGTTGGTTGGCCCTAAACCAACATGTTGAAAGCATCTGATGGCATGTGAGCACGGCATGTGGTAGATGGACCATTTTCCACAAGAGCATAACCTTGTAGATTCATTTATGGTATATATATTATTCCCCCGATTTTGATGGATAGCGGTGCGAACTTCAAAAATATTTCTGTCCTGATCATACTGTAAAAATGAATGCCAATGTGCTCGCCGACTGTATTTCTCAAATCTCTTCATCGACAGTGGCATAAATTCAACACCCCTTTCCATCAATGACGTTGCAGCTGCAGCCCTTTCAACAAACCTCCCCGCCATATGCTTGAACGACATGCGCACCATGGCAGTGACATGCAATCCTCTTGCCGACTTCAATAACCTGTTGAAAGACTCTGACACATTTGTAGTTAGAATTCCCCATCTTCTTCCACCATCCGCATGCAAAGTCCACTTGTCAAGCTCATGTCGCACCAACTAACGATAGGCTCTCTCGTCTTCCTACCTGATAGATTCCATGTGCCTCCGGAATTTATGCTCTTGGTGGTCTGTTGCTGCCATCTACATCAAATCATGTAGATCCTTGTTGGGATGTGTCTTCTGGAAATTGGCCTTCAGGTGCCTCACACAGTAACGGTGGTAGGCATAAGGTTCTTGCCATGCAGGCAAATTCTCTACAGAACTTAAGATACCACTATGCCGATCAGATATTAGACAAATACCGGAACGCTGTTTGACAACGTGCTCTTTCAAATGGTTCAAAAATAGCGTCCACGTCTCTTGGCTTTCATTGGCACAAATAGCAAAAGCTAGAGGAAATATTTTTCCATTAGAATCTACTGCAACGACGATCAACAATTTGATATCATACTTTCCATAGACATGAGTGCCGTCTATGGATATTACCGGCCGGCAATGCGGAAAACCATCAATTGCTGGTTTAAATGCCTAGAACACGTAATTGAATATATATTCTGGTCTTCTCGGACTCCGCTCAAGCTTCCATTCAACAATCGTTCCGGGATTTAAGTGTTGCAGTGCCGCCATGTACCTGGGTAGAGCTGCAAATGACTTATCCCAATTACTATAAACAATTTCAAACGCACGTTTGCGCCCGAGAAATGCATTTTTTTTTGGTAATGGTATGGCCATATTCCTGGTGGACTAATGTAATGCACTCTTTGACTTTATACCTTATGGACGCTTCAAGGTGTGGAATAAGGACAAGAGAAATCAAGTCAATATCCAAGTTGTAGTGATTCTCATTGAATGTGTCCATTTCACATATGTGGGTGGGAATATATTTACCTACTTTCCACAGACCTATGTTCTTCTTGCTCGCACGCAGTATCCAATGACAACCCGTAAACCATCTGCGACAAACAACCTTGTATACATCCGGACTTGACTCCCATACCGTCATCTCATGACACTCTTTTACGCAGTACATTTTTGCCGCCCTGCTTAGGCGCGCTTTATCAGGAAAAAATATGCCCTTTGCCAGCACCGTTGGTCTAGAATCATCCCACATTGCTGTCCGAATTTCATCAAAATCCCTTGTGAGAGCATCCACATCCGACATACTTGGAAAATGATCAAGGTAGGGAATCTTCCTTGAATGAAACGACATTTGGGACTCGTACACTCTTGGTCTAACAAGGGGTGGAGCATACTCCCTCGTCAAATCAGGTCCTTCATTCTCTTCCTCCTCATCACCATCCTCACGAGGGAAGGGCGTGTCGTCTACGGAATCATCGACATTCTTGTCATAATCACTGTTCTCTTCCTCACTCTGTGCATCTTCGAGATCCCGATTTAATATATCGTCTTCGGGCAATTAAGTCAGGACAGGTGGATCAACTTGCTCGTTTTCACTGCACAAACAATAAAATAATAAGCTACTCAAATTAATAAATACTTTCCATATAGTTGTATCACTTCACTTACAAGTCATAATGTGTTAACATTCCTTGATGGACATTATCCTGTTGGTGATGACTCCCAGATGGACCACCATGATCCAACACACCAGAACTACGCATATTCTAACTGGGCGTGGGTTCATAACTTGTAAAAGTCATATCTGGCCGGTACCCCCTGTGAAATATATGAGTGTTAATATAAATTTAATACAAAAAAATATACATCGTAACACTAAGGAAAATTGAAGTTTACTACTCATCTTGTGGATTATGTAAAGCAGGAGAGAAATTATTTTCTCATTCCTCATTCACCAGTGGTGATAAGTTTAAATCAGGCCAAACTCTTTCAGCCGGAACCTGACGGCAAAAACTGCTCCAGAATAACCACCCGACGACTGAGGGTTATCCCTACTATGCTCAACCTCATTATTGCGAACGTCTTCGACCTTGACGTACATGTCCAACATTTTTATCACAAGAAATTTCCGATATTCATCCGGAGTCCTCAAAAAATCCCTCAAAGTTTCATCATCGTCGATGTTAAACTCAGCGTAACAAGCAACCCCTTGTGGAGTAACGGAATACGGATATCTTCCGGTTACTTTAAGGTTTACCGAACGTTTTCTCACACTCATTTTTTTCACATAACAACGGTACCAATGTATCGTACTCCATTGTAAGTGGCAACTTAACATGACACTGTGGAGATAAACTATAGTTCACAGTATTATTCGCCACCACAACCTCACCCCCCTAATATAATGAAACCCTTACTTTTCGCTCTTCAAACATTATGAAAAAATGCTTGAGAATTTAACANGTTATGTCAGTTAAATGCATGCGACTTATTGGTGGGCCCACAAAACAGGTATAGCGCTCTTTAAAAAAACGCTATACATATAACGCCTTTAATAACAACGTTATAGATGTATAACGCTTTTTTAAAGAGCGCTATACCTTAACGTCCAAAACGTCCGTTAATGTATAGCGCTCTTTAAAAGAGAGTTATACATAGATAAGTCACTCTTTTTTTTTTACACTTATTTCCGTTCTACATGGCAAAAAAAACCACATTTAGGTTTTGGACTCTATATATAACCCATTCCTTAGATTAGCCTGTCACACTCTCACACTTCCCAACAGCTCTCATGCCCCAATTTGTATGAAAATTAATATGCTGTATAAATGTTTAAACAAATTTATCCACCAAGTATAAAGAGCGATTTTGGCTACGTTATTTTTGGACTTTAACTTTACTAGTAAAAAACTTGTAAAAGTTAAAGATAGTGAGTAATATATAGATTTATTTGAAATATATACAGATATAAACGAGTATTTCAATTTAAATACTGAGATTCAGTATTTGCATAAAAATACTCATGACTAATATTACTATTCACAAATCTTGAAGTTCAGTATTTGCTTGTTTCTATGCAGAATTATATATGCATAAACTGCCGTATAATCAATAGTTTTGTTAATCATGTCCAATCGAACTGGGGTAATTCACATATATAGGTGGAATTAATATGAATATTAATTCCTATCTCTTGCAGGAAATGAGGGTATGGGGTTCAAGTGTTCATGGGAATGCTGCATATCTTCGTGAGAGTCTGGGAATTTCCAGGTTTTGAGCAACTGAATTGACTCAAAATTCAGCAAATATATGATACAAATTTAACAATTTGGGAATTACTTGACCACAATCGGGAACTGAAAATAGTCAAATACAATAATGGAGAGCATACACACATATCTATTTATCTATCTATACTACAATATCAAGGTCCGTACCTTAGTTTCTTCAAATATTTCAAACCTCGACTAACTTATTATTTCCACCTTATCAACATTAATCTCAACTTTGAACCTGGCTAAATTAATTCCTCTATTACATTCTTTTTATTTTTCTTTTGAACTCATCATCAATTAAGTTAAGGTAACATTAAACCACAACGGGGGCATTATTCACTTAATTTTACTTTTCTTTGCTCAAAGGATTTATATTATAACACTCTTTCCTTTTTACTATGCTAAGAAAAGATTGTCAATCTTTTTATAGTTGAAAATAATTTAACTTAAAGTTTTTCAATTTACACTTGATGTCGATAAAATTAAACGGAGGGGGTAATTCTTTTTACATTGATGAAGTAGAGAAACTCAATTTTGTTTGGTTCTGAAAACAAGGGTATGGTTAAGATTTCTCGTCTAGAAATAGAACTTGTTCTATTTTATATTCCTCTCTCCATTATCCCAACTCAAAATTATGTAATTCTTTTATTCAACAACAAAGGTAACAATGCCTCAGTCTCAAATAGTTGTCGTCTGCGATTTCCTTAAGCATATTACGAGGATTCATTTGGTACGTTTTATGCTGGCTACCAGCCTATTACAACCCTCATCCTTTATCCAGGTTTGAGACCGATAATATAAGCAAACTCACAGGCGTGGCAGAGTTATCTAATTCTTTTGTTAATCATTTAAAAAAACGGTGGAAGCACTATAAATAGGGTTATCTTGTACCCAAAATAACACAACCACCTTTAGCTCAAACCCAAAAAATACCTCCATATATATGGCATACAATAAGTTAACATCCCTTTTCCTACTATCTCTTTTCCTCATTGCAACAACTAGTCCATTAGCCCATGGAGTCCTTATCAATGGCCAAAATGTGATTGGACTAAGGGTACGTGGCCTTTTGGTTTGTTCAGCAACAGGCAATCCACCTGGCCCTGGCATTGCTGGTGTAAACGTCAAGATTTCATGCAATGGTGGTTCAACAAGCCTTGTCCAAGTTCTAACTGATGCTAATGGCTACTTTCAAACTATAATCACTGCATTAGATGGCATCCTCTTTGATCAAACTACAACACCATGCCAAGTTATAATTGATACTCCAATTGCTAGTTGTTCACTTTTGGCTTCAACTGGAACACTTAGGGCTCCTATTACCCTTGTTGGTACCCTTATACAAACTTTGCTTGGTCTTGTTGCTGATGCTACTTGCGGTGCATTTCACTTAGTTCCTATTGCATAATATGCTTGACCAAAAAATCGCTTAATATGTAGTAATATGGTGTGTCGACGTCTTGTACGTTTGAGTTTCGAATAATTGTCCGTCTAGCGCCTTTCGATTGGGGTGCATCCCGAGGGTTAGGTTATTAGACCTAAGCTTCTATAATATAATTGTAACATTAAGGACATGTAGTTTGATATTTCAAAACAAGGAGAAGAATATTTCGCTCATGTTTTTGTTACTTTTATATGGTTTCCATTTTGCTTCGTTCACTTTATCAATGGTGTCATAATTAATGGAAGTTTCGTTGTGAAACATTACCAACTTTAATCTCTCATGTTGGAAGAAATTAATGACGGACGTACTTGCCAGGATATTATAAGTGCCATTAGAAACTCTTAAACAATCAATGATGGACAAGGTAGGAGTATGACTACGTATATATTATCCTCCCCAGACTCCACTTATGAGATTACATTGAGTTTGTTGTTGTTGTACTGGCCAGGATATAATAAGCGCCATTAGAAACTCTTACACAATTAATGATGGACAAGCATCAAATTACTTAAGATTTTTCAATAATACCTCCTTATTGCTAAATATTATTGCTTAAAAAGGGCAACAAGAGACGAGCATAAATATATATCCTAGCTAGTCAATTTTTTCATGAATGAAAATTTTCACGGAATAATCATCCATGATATGTTTTTTGTAAGGGATGGGGATGTGAATATGTGTTCTCATAAAATTAAGTACTTAAGAACCGGTCTTCTATTCAAAATATGACAATTTCCTAAATCCTCCTTTTGATATATATCTTAAGTTGTCGGCCTTTTTCTTCGGTGTTGCCTCTGAAAAAGTGTGATCTTCATCTCTATGAAAAACAATAATGCACCCAAGAATGCTATATGCTGCATAAAATCGTGGAGAAGAAGAAAAAATTCTGGTTCTCCGACTGTATAGTGATAGAAATCATAAAAAATTGGAGTAGCTATCAGCAAGTACAATATCAGGAGAAAAATCCCTTCTATCCTGTCAAATAGAAATAGAGAGCCACCAATTGCTTTTAGACCAATGAAGAATGTTATGAAGAAATGAACAATTTGTATTTTCGTTTCCTCTGAATAGTGCACTACAAGATCGAGGAAACCAGCCAGTTTGACAACATATTCCTTCTCCACAAGTCTTATATCTGTGTCTATTTCTTTTAATGTTTGCCAAGCAGAAGAGACGAAGAACCAAGCAAACAGAAACCTTCCCAGGATTGAAAATAATTCCATATTCACTCTTGATTCTGCCGTTCTAATCATATATATATTTTTTGTTTGCATTTTGTGTGTATGGGACGAAGGAAATTAAAATGGGCTAATTGGAATAAATTCAGGAGGAGGAAGCGGATCGAAATCCCATGATATTCGGATTAGTAATATGTTAAGCGAACAATGTAATTTGAGTAATCTCAATGAGGCATAAAATGAGTTCCAATAATTACTGGAACATAATCCCGAAAAAATTATTTATTCCGAATATACTATCTTGTAAAGGAAAAACAAATGAGTACGTTTCTTTTCTCTTGGGCGAGTTACAAAATTTTCCTAAAGCAAAGATATATTCATTTGTAAGAACGGATTTGTCAGTTCACATTTTTATACAACACCGAATAATTAGTCACTTTTCCGTACTATAGAGCCACTGATTGTTGAAGATAAAATTAAATAAATAAAAGCTAGTATAATTACACACTCCAACATGGTATATAAGAACAAATAGAAGTTTAAATTCGAGTCTCATTGCCGGTGGCGTATCTAGCACTATAGTTATGGGTTCAATTGAATCCATAACTTTCGAGGCGGAACATAAATTTATGTGTAAAAATTTATTAAAATTATAAAAAACTAGTGAATTATATCGCGCTTCGCGCGATCATAAAAGATATCATTAGATCTATGATTTAATTTCTTCTTATAGCCAAATATTGAAAGTAATCACAATACGTTGTCAAATCTAATTTTCTTTAATTTTTCTTTAATAAGATAAACTAAAAAAGTTCATAAATTCAACCGATATGATTTTTGGTAAAACTTAGGAGGCGTTTGGACATAAACAATAACATGAAATTTGACAAAAAAAATAAAAATGAAGTTCAAAAAATGTATTTGAAAATTGAAATTATATTTTGACATGCATTTGACTTGAAAAAAATGTTAGATGTTTTGTGAAAGAAAATATTGCTTACTTGAAAAAGTGGTTACTTGAAACTTATCTTCAAAAATTCAGTTTAATGCATAACTTAATAATATTTGAAGAAGTCTTTCGAAGAAAAGGAAAAAATTCGTATGGCTAAACAGAACCCGAAATTTTCGAAAACCAAACTAAAAAGTCAAATATGACCTACATATTTAGTGAAAATAAAGAGAAGTTAGTGTAACAACAAAAAGCCTAAAACAAAAGTGTCCAAATATTTCTAGTTTTAAAAGCAAGTTATGCTTTACAAAATGTATATGAATTAATCAAGATGCATTTTTTTCCTAAAAAAACTCAGTTCTTGTTGTCGTAATGTCTTTTTAAGATATACTCCACATGCATTGCTTAATCTTCTCCCTAAAAGCTTCGCTGGACCAATTACTCAAGTTCGCTTGCAAAAATGGTTAAAAGAGTTCCAAGACAAAACAATCCTCATAAATTTAGCACCGGTTCTGCAATTAAATTTAAGCGCTGTTGTGACTTTTTTGCTCTCTTTTTTCACCAATCTTCGTATGGGAAATTTTTAATTGGACTATAGTAATTTTCTTCCTAATTAGTTCATGCAAAATCCACAAAAATTAGAATTTTCCTGGAATACTCTCATCATTTTAGCCTATAAATTCAAAGTGTTCTTTTTTAGTATATAAACAATCAAAGTGGTTCAATGGAAAAAGGGGAGAGGGGACAAGTGCAACTTTCAAGAGAAACAAAACTACATTCACACAAGTCCATTTAAAAAGATAAATCAAAATAGTTGTTGCTTTAGTGAAAAACTTTTACAATGCTTCTGATCCCCTGCTTCCTTGATTCGTCGCTTGCTTCACCCACATGATATCCATGAAACTTTAAACTCTTAGCGGAAGCCTGACTCCTTTTGCCACGTCCATGGGACTGGTGTTTGTTTATATAGTGGTTTAAAAATATAATGGTGAAGATTTCATTCAATTCTGTAATTAAGTGATGCATATATAAAGGTGTAACTCAAACTTTTTGGAGAAATCCATGATTGCATAAAGCTGTAAGTGAAAGAATAATTAATTTCAAAACTGAAACTTTATGTAAAGGATTTAACATCAGAAGGGGAAATGAATAGAAGAAGGAAAAAAAGAGGAAAAAGTTGTGAAAATTTGAGAAAAAAGATAAATAAGAATGGTGGCTTAAGAGACATGCCACGTAAGCTTCTCAATTGAAACTTCGAAAATATTATGGGTTCAATGTTAAAATGTTAAATATTGAACCCATAAAATTTAAATCTTGAATCCGCCTCCGTGACATTGCCACCTATTATCAAAAATGAATTTTCACGAGTATTTTTTTTTTTTGGGGTCAGAATAGTGTAATATTATTGCTGACACAATAGCATTCTGCAAAGTATCGTACAATACCAATAAAGCATCTGTTTGAACTAAAAATTACACCATTAATCCTTCTCCTTAATTCATATATAGGAACAAGAAGAAGTAGAGGAACTTGCATAATGTCAACAACTGACACATCTGGTTACAACTACAAATACATGCATAAAATAACATACAATACTACATTTTATTTATTTCTAGCTATCCCATGCATGGATAGATTAAAGTAAGGTAACAATTCGTGTATATTATCAAACGATGGAGAAGGGACCAATGGTGGCATCAGCAACAAGTCCAATAGTGGCCTGTGACACAGTACCTTTGAGATTAACTTTAGCTTGAAGGACTCCATTGCGAGGCAAGAGAGAGCATGTCAGAATTGGAAGATTTACTCTAATAGCACATGATAGGGAGTTAGGGTCAAGGCCACTTAAGTTAGTAATTAGAGCAACAAAAACTCCATTGAGGTTTGTTGTAGCAACACCAAGCACAGTTGGAGTTCCATTTACATTGCAAGTGACACTAGCAAGGACTCCAGCAATGCCATTTCCTGGTAAGTTACCAGTTGCTGAACAAGCTAAGGTGCCACTCACTTGTATTCCAAGCACAGTTTGGCCATTTATGGCGAATGCATGGGCTGCGGGTAGGCCTGTAGCTATGGCGAAAAGTATTAGAGCTAGAAGAGAAGTGGTTGGAGAGGCCATGGAATTAAGCTTTTTGGGCTGATATTCAGATGGTATACTTTAGTGTATTAGAGGAAATACTTTGCTTTTGTGTGTTCATAGTTTCTAGTCAAGACTCCTATTTATAGGTAATTCATTTGCCCCATTGAGAATAAAAGATTTCTGAATTGTAACCATAAAGAGATGGGAGAACGTCGGGGTTGGCTGGAGATTTTCTTCAATTGCAAGTTGAATGGCAAGTGGCAATGTGATGATCTTCAATTTGGTCAGCATCGTTTTGTATGCAAAAAGATAATATAGAATTATCTGCTGCATGACACTACACCCGCTAGCTCGACTAATTCGAATATGCATCACGTAAAATTTATTAAAAGGCAAAGCTCTCCCGACCATACAGCGTACTTGAACCAGAAAAAAAGTAATTAACACGGTAAATTTTGAAAGGATGGGTAGAAAAATACTAAAGAATTATACAATGAAACCTCTCTGCAATTTACACTCCTGAATAACGAATAATTTTTCTTTATAATCGAATTTTTATGTTATAGTAGTATACTCTATATTTTACTTAATAACAACCTTTTATCGAGTGGTAAATTCACATTAAGAGTGATGGTGCGTGTGAACCCATCCTCTGTATCATTTAAATTGGGATTCCGGTATAAATTACCATGGTCAAGACCAAAGGGTCTCGTATGCTATACTTAGTTTTTAGCATTTCTTTTCTTCTCTTTTG